GGGTGCAGTGGTTCCTATGCCAACCGTCCTCAGACAAACTCCATTCCATGCAGTGGTCGATCCCAAAGACGCATTCATTCAATTTCAACATGCTGTTAATTTAAAACAGGTTCTTGTATATAAATTAATATTATATTAGCATATTGTGCATATATAGGCATAGGTTAGGTGTTTAGGTTCTGTTGACGATTATTGTATCTGTTGTACGTGGGTGAAGCAATGATAGCGTTGTGGTTCGAACAAAAGTCGTCAGCTAAGCACATGTTCCGGAAGTGTTCGAACGTCATCAGTTGAGTCAAGAGTAAACTGTTTTTTTTTATTCATAAACAGGGGGTTTGGCGGGTGCATGGAATGGACTTTGTGTGTCTGTTTGGAGGACGGGCTGCCTATTCAGATACCTGCTCGTGAGCCCCCCATCCCATGTACCAGTGAACCAAGGAGGGGGGATAGTTGACTCTGGTGCTAGTGGTCATGCAAGGCAAGATTGGTTTTAATGCTGTAGGTCTGTGGCCTCTCCTTGAGGTTTCTAGTTCTTCGTGGCCCCCTCCCCCTTCCCCTTTTCCACTGATCCCAAGAAGGTGTAATCAGCCTGAACTTGGGTTGACGGCGGATAATTGGTTGCCGGATGTTGGGGTGGTATCCGGACAGTAAGCGATGCCTGGGGTTGCGTCTCCGCATTTCGTGATGCGTGTGTGTGTGTTTTTGCTTGTTCCTTGTATGGATGGCTGTGTGTATTCGTGGAGTTTGTGGGTTTCAGGTAAGGGTTGGTTATTTTCCTTGCTTTTTGTTTTTCTGTGGCTTTATTTCCTTTTGCGGTGTCCCTTGTTGGGCTGTTTTGTGTAAGTTTTGTTTCCTTGTATTGGTGATTGTTGAGATTTTTTTTTCTTTGACAATTGTCAAAACAATTAAGTCCTATTGATGTTACGTTAATCGTATCTACCTCGCAAGAGAGGCAGACCTTGAACAGCAATAGCTGCCAATGGCAGATATTTAATCTTAAAGCCTAAGATCATAGGACCGCCAGGCGAAACCACCTGGGTAACACCTGTCGCTAAGGTCGCTGGCTCCTCCTAGTTAACAACTAATAAAGGGTAGTCGACGGATTATCACCTCTTATTTACAGAAGTGTGGTGCTGTGCAATGGACTCGAGCTTTAGATACAGACTTGATATGAGCATAAGCAGGCAAAGCGTTGCAGAACATGAAATGTGGGGCAGTAATATTGGAAGGTTTGACGTAAACGACCGTTTTCTATAACAAACAATTTATTCACAAAACAAGAACTAAAACTACTACACAGTGAATTTACGTTACTTACTGTCACTCCAGTGGCACATTAAAGAACAGCTAATCAACAGCCTGATGGACCCACGGTATCCTTATCCCGTCGTCGCTGACTGAACAATGACACTGAACAAAGTGGTGCCCACTGGTGACGCAAGCTTGCAATCAATATTGTCACGGCTTCACGGTGATCAATACTATAATCACAAAGACTTGACTGGCGCTCGCTGCCCTCAACGAGGTACTAAGTAACAAGGCGGTTAATCCAAGAATGATAACCCTTATAAAAATCTTACGTTAACACTTGTCTCTCAGGACAATCAACAACAAAAGTTACGCTAATTGAATTTAAACAATTACGTTAACACACACGTCTCAATGACACTTAAATGGCAGCAATAACTCGTAAATCAATTAATTACATCAACTTGAAAGTCAAGCATTCGGTGAGTAATTCCCAATTAATTACTGAATACAACAGCCTATTAATTCAGAGTATTGACAATGCCTACTGTGTCTCAACTGACAGTTCACTTCCGGTCTTATGACAAGATTACCTTAACGAGGGTAGACTACTGTACCACACACAAGGTTACAAGACACTCCTTGTAAACAACAACAACAACAACAACATCAACACTTGGTGAATTCACTAAGTGGCGGTTACTAATCCTCTTTAATTAGCTACGAGTGCTTAATCACTCTGTCCGCAGACAGATCTGATCAGTCCAACCAATTACAGCAGCTTAATTACAGCGCAATTGACTCCGATCATAACAGACCGTCAACCCCTTACGTTAATCAATCAATTAACGACAGCTCGTTAAATCGTTAACACTACGTTAGTCTTCACTTTACAATTCCTTCACTGCGTGAACTTCACTGTGACTGCTGCCTTTACACGTCTCTACGTTAATATCAACAATGTTCAACGAACAAGTGACCTCGTTAAGTAAATCGTGACCCCCGGTGACATTAACTGACTTTAATTCTCACGGAATCCTTCACAGTACACAACGCCTTCCACCAAGGACAAACTTGTCTACGGTTTACACACGGTACAACACAGTACATCCTTGCCACTCATGGCAAAACTTGTAAATGGCTTCCCCCAGTAAATTATCTACCAATAATTCACACTTTACCACAACACAACAGTAAAATTTATAACGAAGGGAAACCTCCCTGTTACCACTTTCACTGCTGAAAAAGGGAATCAAATTACAGCGAATTACATACACGGCACAGAGAAAATAGCAGCAAATAACTCGCTTTACTCTACCGTGTGTCTAGGTGTCCTCACACACGTCAAAATCACAGTTGGGCCCAACCTCAACTTGATGACGGCAAACAGGGTAAACTCTCACGTCTCCAATTCCCATTCACCTCACCAGGTGGTCATAGGGACAGAGGACAGACGGAACACTGGGGGCGAACCCAGCTTCAGAGTTTATTACCAAAACATAAACAGTGTACTTACATCAATCATGCGGGCCCGCAACATACACACCCATACACGTCACCCTCACACTCCACTGCTGCTGCTGGATGATGACGTAGGCGTCCTCACTTCCTATACGTGGTCAGTTGGAGCACAGGGTCCTAGACCACGGGGTTAGCTCCACACACATGAGACCAGGTGGCGCGGACACGCCGGCTTAGGCAGACCAGGGTGCGCACACAACAGCAGGGATGCGGTACCACGCCCTTCCACTTGACACGGTACCACAGGATACGACAGTACACGGTGTTACACGAGACTCGAGATGGAGTCCTTCACTGTTCTTTGGTTTCCTTAGCATTAGAACTTTTAAGGTTTCTCTCATAACACTGAAACCTTCTCTAGCACGTCTCACTGCAGTACCTTCAAGCACAGATACGATAGACGGCGGATGTCACTTTCGTAGTCCGATAATTAACCGCCTCACTCAGTCTAGTTGCTCTAAGATGGCGTCCCACAATTACGCGGCCAGATGTCTCGGTTCACACTGTTCAGTACATGCAACTTTTCGAACTACCGGATTCTTACGGATGGCACAGGGAAAGATAGCACGATAGGCGTGACTTTAGTAACGTTGCAGGCGATATTTCCCGATGCTTGGCTTGATGGTAACGGCCTCATTGTGTTTGGTGGCCTTTGTGTGTGATTATTATGCGCTATTAGTGATGTGTGTTGCCATGTTCCCTTATCTATATTTTTGTTTGTGTCCTTTTTATGCCCATACGTATGTTCGGCGGGTGTGGTATGGTACCGTTATTATTTTGTAAACCTTTTGCTTTGTTCTATGTTCGTTTTTGTGTATCGTTCGGTTGCTAAGGTGTCCTTTTCTTTTATTTGTATGTATTTTCTGGTTGAAATGTTAAAGGAAAGTGTTTAACCAACTCCCACTATCTATAATTGGGTCCATATAATAGCAAATGGTAGATACTTAACCTGGACCGGAACAGAGCCGTTGTTGTCTTAACAACGGCGGCTAACAGATGTAATTGTGGCTTAAACTTTCGTTAAGGATATAAATACTCGGTATGTATCACGACTCCTCGTCGTTGTCAAGCTTAGAGCCGTCTGAACCAATATGGTCAGACCTCCCTCCTCACTGTCGTCGTCGTCGTCGTTGTTGTTCTTGCCAGAGTTATTAAATGGGAATTTGGGCCGTTTTTTTTAGAATCATTACAGAATCTGAACTGAATATCTTGATTTGTTTAGTACTTGGTGTTTGATTTTATCTCCACACTTTAACTGATCAACGAGGCTTGAAGTAATTTTCTCAATCCTCGTGGTGACGTAGAGGTGGCTGACGTCACATGTTACGTCACCCCAGTAATATTAAATTATGAGTTATTATAATAACAGGATTAATCCTCCTAATTACATTTAAGCCGTAACAATTCGTCGTCTTATAAGCCTAACTGAGGAAGATTCCTCATTGCGGTATATTATTAGAAGTATTTATTTAGTAGTTAATCATGTTTCCCATAAATAGGGTGACAATTCGGAAATAATTGGATAATTATAAATTTCAAAAATGTTCATATTTTAACTGAATTAAGCTGAATGGCGCAAAAACTCTCAAAAGTGAAGCATACTAATATACATACGAATTGTTAAATAAATTTAGCAAATTATGGTTGTGATAATATGCATTGACTGCTTTATTGTAGAAGATGTGGATTTATAAACAATAGATAACGGCAAAAAACTACAATATACTTTCGTAGGATAAGGAAAAGTGAAAGTTGCTACATAATCTGAATTATGTATTTATTAGTTTCTTTAGAGGCTGTACTCCTCTCAACCAGTTTAAATACTGTTTGGGAAATCATTGTAAAATGAAACCCTTAATTGCTTGTATTACAACTTACCAAGAGTCGCATTCTTGGAATATCAGATATTTCTCATGTGTCCATGGGTTGTGTTACAGCCGTCCTGGAAAAGTTAAATGTTTGAAGTTAGGATTAGTATTGCAGGTCAGTTTGATCGATTTAGTGCACTTGAGAGTATAGGCACTTGATATTTAACGCTCAAGGATGTAAGGGTGCTGACTGTTGTCTTGGCTTAGAACTTTAATTGCCTATTTCTTATGAGTAATTGAGTCATAGGGAATTTTGTGTAGTAGATCCCTAGACGTAGATACCATTGGCGACGTATTTTGTTTGGTAGATACTTGCACGTTGTTTACAAATATACTCTAAAAGGGATATCTTGTTGTTTTCAGGTGTGAGGGTCTGCAGGTCTTGTCCACCTTCAACCTTCTGCTATTGCAAGTGATAATGCAGCTGATGCAACACGAAGGTCTCCAGGTAATGGCCACCATACCTGTATTGCCAGCGCTGGTAACTTCTCGTATGAAAGCAATCCAATTATTGCCATTTACAATGAATGCACTATTGTTTCGTATCAAATGAAAAAGGGGGTGGAACATTCGCAACCGCCCTTTTTAATAGTGCACCGATATTCGCTGTTAAATTTGTCATAAATTGTAAAGTTTGTTAAATTGAAATAACGTATTAATTATCTCAATTTAACCATACAGTAATACTTTACTAAGTAGGAATAAATGTGCGTTACTACTTATTAACTGTCACGCCTTTAAAAAATCTTTCCAGTTATTGTTACATGTTTAATGAGGAAAAATGCTATACACAATTTTTTTTTTAAATGTAATATATACAGTAGGTACCCTCGGCCCTGAAGACGAGGATACATATCATCTGGGGGGAGCATTGTGGGGCTCACGTACTCAGTCTAATATCATCCAGTATATATTTGTAAATAATTATTTTATTGAAAATTCCATTACACAATGGCTTACAACATTGGGTGGCCAGGGGGGGGGGGGGGCTTCAGTGGACATGTTGAGTCCAGTGGCGATGGGTGCACTCGAAAGCTTGTGTATTAAAGCATATTTTTCATTTTTAATAAAGATATTTTAGAGATATGACTGATACACAGCCTACTTTAAGGTTTGTCATCATTTGTTTCTATAATGTATATGATACGGGTGGCATTAACAAAAATTGCTTCACGTGGTAGTGCCTGAAGTGTTGTACAATATTGCTGCAGTAATACAACTGTGACCACTTGGTAACCAAAACATTCCATGCCAACGATATAAAAAATGTTACGATCAATAGCTTTTGGTTTTGTTAATTTATCATGCACTGAGGCCAAACCCCACCCCGTGGGTGGTAATCGTGCACTGGGGCCAAACCCACTCCGTGGGTGGTAATCATGCACTGGGGCCAAACCCACCCCGTGGGTGGTAATCATGCACTGGGGCCAAACCCCACCCCGTGGGTGGTAATCATGCACTGGGGCCAAACCCACCCCGTGGGTGGTAATCATGCACTGGGGCCAAACCCCACCCCGTGGGTGGTAATCATGCACTGGGGCCAAACCCCACCCCGTGGGTGGTAATCATGCACTGGGGCCAAACCCACCCCGTGGGTGGTAATCATGCACTGGGGCCAAACCCACCCCGTGGGTGGTAATCATGCACTGGGGCCAAACCCACCCCGTGGGTGGTAATCATGCACTGGGGCCAAACCCACCCCGTGGGTGGTAATCATGCACTGGGGCCAAACCCCACCCCGTGGGTGGTAATCATGCACTGGGGCCAAACCCCACCCCGTGGGTGGTAATCATGCACTGGGGCCAAACCCACCCCGTGGGTGGTAATCATGCACTGGGGCCAAACCCACCCCGTGGGTGGTAATCATGCACTGGGGCCAACCCCACCCCGTGGGTGGTAATCATGCACTGGGGCCAAACCCACCCCGTGGGTGGTAATCATGCACTGGGGCCAAACCCACCCCGTGGGTGGTAATCGTGCACTGGGGCCAAACCCACCCCGTGGGTGGTAATCGTGCACTGGGGCCAAACCCACCCCGTGGGTGGTAATCATGCACTGGGGCCAAACCCACCCCGTGGGTGGTAATCATGCACTGGGGCCAAACCCACCCCGTGGGTGGTAATCGTGCACTGGGGCCAAACCCACCCCGTGGGTGGTAATCGTGCACTGGGGCCAAACCCACCCCGTGGGTGGTAATCCAAACCCACCCCGTGCACTGGGGCCAAACCCACCCCGTGGGTGGTAATCGTGCACTGGGGCCAAACCCACCCCGTGGGTGGTAATCGTGCACTGGGGCCAAACCCACCCCGCACTGGGTGGTGGTAATCAAAAACCCCCCCGTGGGTGGTAGGCACACAATGGCTTCTGAAACGGAACTCTAAACATAAACTTAGCTAAGCAAGTATCTTGAAAAGCTTGGTGCACAATTTAATGAGTTTATCGAGTCTTTTATAACGCAATTGCTTCAAGAACAGGTCCAAAAACGTCTGAAAGCAGAACTTATGAGATGCTTCGCCATCTCCCTCCGAGCACGTCTCGGTATTTACTGAGTCTGTATAATCGGATCTGGGAGTCGTCGTCAGTCCCTGAGGACTGGCTCGATGCCGTTGTCCTATCTGTTCGCAAACCAGGGTCTCTGGGTACTTCCCCTAAGGACTTTCGCCCTATTGCTCTCACAACTTGTCTGCAAACTCTTTGAACGTATGGTTAACGTTCGTCTGATGTGGTTCCTGGAACACCATCACCTCCTCTCCCCTTCTCAATTTGGTTTCCGCAAGTGCCGCAGCGCGACAGATGTCCTGGTGAACTTGGAGGTCTATATTCGTACTGCTTTTGCTGCGAAGACCTCCGTTGTTGCCGTCCTTTTTGACCTGGAAAAGGCTTACGACACCACTTGGCGTTATCATATCCTATCTCAACTTCATTCTTTGGCCTTCGTGGTTATCTCCCTCTCTTTCTCCGCAGCTTCCTTTCTCTTCGTTCCTTTCGGGTGCGCCTTGGTACCGCGCTCTCTCCCTCTTTTCAGCAATACGAAGGTGTGCCCCAGGGTAGTGTTCTGAGCACTACTCTTTTTCTGGTTGCCCTCAATGGTCTTCTTTCCTCTCTTCCTTCTGGTGTCTTCTCCACTCTCTATGTCGATGATCTTACCCTTTGTTAGGGTGATGATTCGCCTCTCCTTCAACGCCGGCTTCAACTTGCAATTGATGCCGTGTCGTCTTGGGCCACTGATCATGGCTTCAAGTTCTCTACTTCTAAGACTTGTGCCATGACTTTTACGCGGAAACGGGTTGTTCTTCATCCCTCTTTGTCACTTTATGGTCATCCTCTTGAATACAAAGATTCCACGAAGCTTTTGGGATTATTCCTTGACACTCGTTTGTCTTGGTCTCCCCATATCTCTTACCTCCGTGTTGAGTGCTCTAAGGCCCTTACCCTCCTTCGGGTCTTGTCCCATACTTCTTGGGGGGCAGATAGGCGCACTCTCCTTGCTTTACATTCCTCTCTCGTTCTGTCTAAGCTCGATTATGGTTGCCCTGCTTACTCGTCTGCTTCTCCTTCTACTCTTCGCCGTCTTGATGCTTTGCACCATACTGGGTTGCGCCTCAGTTCTGGTGCCTTTCGTTCGACTCCCGTCCTTAGCTTGTATGTTGACACTGGCTTCCTGTCTCTCCAGGACCGCCGTGATCGCTACTGTCTTCGCTATCTTGCGCGGTCCTTGCAACATCCTTCCTCTCGCCTCTGTCGTGCTTTAACTTTTACCCCTCCTGCGGTTCCTGTTCCTCTTCACCACCTCCCTCTTTCTGTCCGGTTATCTCGCCTGCAGGATTCTTTTTCCGTTCGTATTTCTGATGTTTCTCCTCGTGTTGTTCCTTCTTTGCCCCCGTGGAGGGTCCCTCTTCCGCGGTTTTGTACATCCTTGACCCGTATCACTAAAGCTTTTACCCCTCCTACGGTTCTAAAACGCCTTTTCCTCGAGCACTTTTCTTCTCACTCCCGCTCCGTTTCTGTCCTTATAAGCCTGAGGAAGATTCCTCATTGCGGTATATTATTAGAAGTATTTATTTAGTAGTTAATCATGTTTCCCATAAATAGGGTGACAATTCGGTAATAATTGGATAATTGGAAATTTCAGAAATGTTCATATTTTAACTGAATTAAGCTGAATGGCATAAGAACTCTCAAAAGTGAAGCATACTAATATATATACGAATTGTTAAATAAATTTAGCAAATTATGGTTGTGATAATATGCATTGACTGCTTTATTGTAGAAGATGTAGATTTATCAACAATAGATAACGGCAAAAAACTACAATATACTTTCGTAGGATAAGGAAAAGTGAAAGTTGCTACATAATGTGAATTATGTATTTATTAGTTTCTTTAGAGACTGTACTCCTCTCAACCAGTTTAAATACTGTTTGGGAAATCATTGTACAATGAAACCCTTAATTGCTTGTATTACAACTTTCCAAGAGTCGCATTCTTGGAATATCAGATTTTTCTCATGTGCCCGTGGGTTGTTACAGCCGTCCTGGAAGTGTTAAATGTTTGAAGTTAGGATTAGTATTGCAGGTCAGTTTGATCGATTTAGTGCACTTGAGAGTACAGGCACTTGATATTTAACGCTCAAGGATGTAAGGGTGCTGACTGTTGTCTTGGCTTAGAACTTTAATTGCCTATTTCTTATGAGTAATTGAGTCGTAGGGAATTTTGTGTAGTAGATCCCTAGACGTAGATACCATTGGCGACGTATTTTGTTTGGTAGATACTTGCACGTTGTTTACAAATATACTTTAAAAGGGATATCTTGTTGTTTTCAGGTGTGAGGGTCTGTAGGTCTTGTCCACCGTCAACCTTCTGCTATTGCAAGTGATAATGCAGCTGATGCAACACGAAGGTCTCCAGGTAATGGCCACCATACCTGTATTGCCAGCGCTGGTAACTTCTCGTATGAAAGCAATCCAATTATTGTCATTTACAATGAATGCACTATTGTTTCATATCAAATGAAAAGTGGGTGGAACATTCGCAACCGCCCTTTTTAATAGTGCACCGATATTCGCTGTTAAATTTGTCATAAATTGTAAAGTTTGTTAAATTGAAATAACGTATTAATTACCTCAATTTAACCAGACAATAATACTTTACTAAGTAGGAATAAATGTGCGTTACTACTTATTAACTGTCACGCCTTTAAAAAATCTTTCCAGTTATTGTTACATGTTTAATGAGGAAAAATGCTATACACAATTTTTTTTTTAAATAATATATACAGTAGGTACCACCTCTGGATGTGTTTGTAGGTACCCTCGGCCCTGAAGACGAGGATACATATCATCTGGGGGGAGCATTGTGGGGCTCACGTACTCGGTCTAATATCATCCAGTATATATTTGTAATTATTTTATTTAAATTTCCAATACACAATGGCATACAACACTGGGTGGCCATGGGGGGGGGGCTTTAGTGGCCATGTTGAGTCCAGTGGCGATGGGTGCACTCGAAAGCTTGTGTATTAAAGTATATTTTTCAGTTTTTAATAAAAAAAGATATTTTAGAGATATGGCCGATACACAGCCTACTTTAAGGTTGTCATCATTTGCTTCTATAATGTTTGATACGGGTGGCATTAACAAAAATTGCTTCACGTGGTAGTGCCTGAAGTGTTACACAATATTGCTGCAGTAATACAACTGTGACCACTTGGTAACCAAAACATTCTATGCCAACGATATAAAAAATGTTACGATCAATAGCTTTTGTTGTTAATTTATCATGCACTGGGGCCAAACTCACCCCGTGGGTAGTAATCATGCACTGGGGCCAAACCCACCCCGTGGGTGGTAATCATGCAGTGGGGCCAAACCCACCCCGTGGGTGGTAATCAAAAACCCACCCCGTAGCAGTGGGGCCAAACCCACCCCGTGGGTGGTAATCATGCAGTGGGGCCAAACCCACCCCGTGGGTGGTAATCACACTGGGGCCAAACCCACCCCGTGGCTTCATGAAACGGAACTCTGAACATAAAATTAGCTAAGCAAGTATCTTGACAAGCTTGGTGCACAATTTAATGAATTTATTAAGTCTTTTATAACGCAATTGCTTCAAGAACAGGTCCAAAAACGTCTGAAAGCAGAACAGTTGTGGTGTAAGGTGAACCAGTTACGCGTAATTACTCACCATGTATCCAGCGCGACAGCATGCACAAAAAAAAAAAAAAAAAAAAAACACAATCACACATATAGGCGCCACTGACAAGCTGACAATCATGTTTATGCCCCGCTTTCATTAAGTAAACTTTAGACATTTGGCTAAGATTTCTGACAGCTCATCATTCTGCAGCCCGTCCTCCGAACAAAGACTCAAGAGATTTCATACCCCCGCCAAACCCCCTGTCTATGAATGAAAAACGGTTTACACACGACTCACAACTGCTGATGTTCGAACACTTCCGAAACTAGTGCTACACTGACGAATTTTGTTCTGTATAATGCTTCACCCTTGTACTACAAATACAAATAATCGCCAACAGAACTTAAACACCTAACCTAACCTATGCTTATATATGCACAATATGCTAATGTATTATAATAATAATAATTTATATTTGAGAAAATTCCCGTTTTGAAAGAACAGCATGTTAAAATTTATGAATGCGTCTGTGGGGTTGACTGCTGGATGTAATGGACTTGAGTCGAGGACGGGTTGCATTCTGATTTTAATATTACACATTTTTTGAACATTTGTAAGATAATTATCTCCAAATTCTGAGGTGTTTTCTCTATTAAATGAGCAACAGCCAAAAATATTTATTTTTAATATATAGAAAATTGGGGTTTGGTACTTCAGATTATTTATTCATATTATACGTGCTCATCAAGTGTAATTAAATAAATACAACCCGTCCTCGACTTGAGTCCATTCAATCCAGCAGTCGACCCCAAAGACGCATTCATAAATTTTTACATGCTGTTCATTCAAAACAGGAATTTTCTCATAAATTAATATATTAGCATTGTGCAAATAGTCATGGGTTAGGTTATACGGGAGCCGGTGGCAGAATGGACAGAAAAAACTGGATGGGTGATCCTGTGGTCCCGGGTTAGATCCCGGGCGCCGGCCAGAAACAATGGGCAGAGATTTTCACCCTGAAGCCCCTATTACCTAGCAGTAAATAGGTACCTGGGAGTTAGTCAGCCGTCATGGGCTGCTTCCTGGGGATTGAGACCTGGTCGAGGACCGGGCCGCAGGGATACTAAGCCCGGAAATCATCTCGGAGGAGGATAGGTTAGGTGTTTAGATTCTTTTGGCGATTGTTTATATCTGTAGTACGTGGGTGAAGCATTTACAGCGTTTGGTTTGAAGAAAATTCGTCAGTGAAGCACTTGTTCTGGAAGTGTTCGAAAGAAATTAGTTGAATAGTGTGTAAACCGTTTTCATTCATAAACGGGGGGGGGGGGGGGGTTTGCGGGTGCATGGAATCACTTTTGGGTCTTTGTATGGAGGACGGGCAGGGAGGTGTGTAAGGGGGTTCCCGGATGAAGTTCACTCGTTACAATTAGGTGAGGCTTCACAGGTTCCCAGTGAACAGTGCTGTTGCCCCTCAAAATTCAGCAGAATATCTGGAATATATAACCGTTTCTCAAAGACCTACTCATATATATTCATGCTTAATAGGAATAACCTCTGTATTAATATATTAATTACTTTGCTTGGGTTTGTATTAGACAAAGCCTAGTGAGCGAGTTAAGGTGATCAGTGACGTCACAGGCAGTTTGTGCATCAGTCCGTGCTGGGGCAACTAGTGCGGGCCGTCAGTGTGGCGAGGATCACGGCGGTGGCAGGAGGGGGTGTTCTGCTGGCTGCAGTTTGGTTCTTGATAGTCTGGTGAAGGGACTTTTGCTTCATCTTCAGGCAAGTAAATGGTGGTTCATTATTATTTTAGGTGATTGTTTCTTTAGATTGTTAGTTTCTTATTGTTTATATCGGTAAAATTTAATTTCTTTAAAATTAAGCTAAATTTAATTAATGTCCCTGATCAATAAGTTTATTTATCTACTAGATTTTTTAAGTTTCTAGATTTGTTTAAAGCTGCATTTCAGGGTAGCCATGTACATAGGATAGTGGGCTTGTTTATGGTTTTAAACTGGATGTTCCTATAATTCTCGGGTTGCCAAGAGGATTTGTTCTCAATAAATGTGAGGAGGCCCAGGGGCGCGCGTTGGCTGGCTCGCTGGAGGCCAGGGGGCACTCGTGGGCCGGCTCGCTGGAGGCCCGGGGGCGCGGGTGGGCTGGCTCGCTGTACAACATTACTGAATGACAAAATTTTGGTGGTGGTGTTATGGCAATATGTACAGCCCACCTCACATGTACATGGTTGTTGTTTTAGATTCAGCTATTCTGAACAAAACGTTCGAAGTAGCACGGCCTATGGTGAGCCTGTAATCCCACTACTGCCACCATTGTAATACCCTTTACCTACTCTGTGCTCTACCCTTTCCCTTCACTAAATACCCCAGCTTAACACTGTTACACTTCAGTATGACCCCTCACTGAGCTGCCACGAATCTAAGCTGACTATTAAATGAGGACACAAAAATAGGGGTTATTAATTTATAACTAATAATTAAATTCTCATTAATCACTACCACCACCTTCCTATAAGCATAAATGAATGTGTAAATTATTGTTTCCCCAGGAAGGGACTCAATAATCATGGACTCGGGGGCAATTAGAATCTTGGTAATAACTCTTGAAGTAATACTGTAATGTTTACTGATTGAGGATCCAAAGGCTTCCAATACCACCCGAGAATATCCCCTATAAAATGACTCGCACAGCATCAAAAGAAAAGGGGAACAGATAACTAAACACAATTACATTAAAACACGTAAATTGGAATCGAATTGAAATGTCCTACTTTACTAACACATCTTAAGAGGCAAAATGGAAATTCGAGGTGCATTTACTTGAAGTACCAAAACTCAGACATTACCTTAATCCTGCAACCTCGGCCAAGATGTTGAGTGGCTGCCACCAGATCAGGAGACCTGTTCCCCAGTTGACACCCCAAGACACACTAACTAATATTTTCTAAAACTCTTACCAATGGAACAGGCTCCACCCACTTAGTTCCTAGGCCCAATTAACTCCGCCTATCAAAGCTCAACCAATGACTACAGTGTGTCACTCTTAGGCCAGCCAAAACCTATGACTTTGCCCTGCCCCTAGGCCTCCTTGGTGACATTGGCCTGTCCTGAAAGTATGTTTTACTCTTGTAGAATCATGAACCGATCCCATGCTACACAGGAAACCGTGAGTTAAGCGAGTATGGCCAATCCGAAACCTTGCTAAAGCAGTTTCCCACCGCCGGTTATTGTGGTAGGAGGAAGGCCACGGGGACACACTGCGTTTGAGAGTACGTTACCTGTTACGTCCGTTACCAACTACAGAGGACCGATAACCCTGCCAACGGGCAAGGATGGAGGAATGAATAACAGGATAAAAGTCAGAATAAGGAATACCTTTACGGGAGATGGGACAAGAACGGATAGCTTCCCTAGCGGCAGCATCCGCACGCTCATGTAAAGAAACACCAATATGGCTGGGAACGCAGCAAAACTCTACTGATTTAAATGTACTAGAAATAAGAAACGGCCAATGTTGAATCTCGATGACCACCGGATGGACAGGATTAAAGGACCCTAGAGCCATGAGGGCACTAAGAGATTCAACTACAACCACAAAGGAGGAATGACAATGAGAAAGCACAAGACGGAGAGCATAGAGAATAGCATAAATTTCTGCTGTGAAGACGCTAGCCACCGAAGGGAGGCGACACATACAAGTGCGGTCAGAAAAAACAAGAGTAGCCCGCACCGTCAGCAGACTTAGACCCATCGGTGAAGATGGAAATAGTGGGAGTGTGAAGAAAAATGCTAAAGGAAAAGGCGTTTCAGGACCGTAGGAGGGGTAAAAGCTTTAGTGAAGCGGGTCAAGGACGTACAAAACATTGGAAGGGGGACTCTCCACGGAGGCAAGAAAGGAACAATACGAGGAGAAACATTAGAAATACAAACAGAAAGAAATCCTGTAAGCGAGATAACCGGACAGAAAGAGGGAGGCGATGAAGAGGAACAGGAACCACAGAAGGGGTAAAAGTTAAAGCACGACAGAGGCGAGAGGAAGGGTGTTGTAAGGACCGCGCAAGATAGCGAAGACAGTAGCGATCACGGCGGTCCTGGAGAGAGAGGAAGCCAGTGTCAACATATAAACTGAGGGCGGCAGTCGAACGAAAGGCACCAGAGCCGAGACGCAACCCAGTATGGTGCAAAGCATCAAGACGGCGAAGAGCAGGAGAAGAAGCAGAAGAGTATGCAGGGCAACCATAATAGTTTAGATAGGACAAGAGAGGAGTGCAAATAGAGGAGCGTGTGCCTATCCACTCCCCAAGAAGTATGGGACAAAACCTTAAGTAGGTTAAGGGCCTTGGAGCATTCAACTCGAAGGTAAGAGATATGGGCTGACCAAGACAAGAGTGTCAAAGATTAACCCCAAAAGCTTAGCGGAATCCCTGTACACAAGGGGATGATCATAAAGCGACAGAGGGACGAAGAACGACACGCTTCAGAGTAAGTCATAGCACAAGTCTTAGACGCAGAATACTTGAAGCCATGATCGGGGGCCCAGGACGACATGGCATCAATCGCAAGTTGAAGCCGCCGTTGAAGGAGAGGCGGATCATCACCCTGACAGCAAAGGGTAAGATCGTCAACACAGGGAGCGGAGAAGACGCCAGAAGGAAGAGAGGAAAGAAGACCGTTGAGGGCAACTAGAAAAATAGTAGTGCTCGGAACACTACCCTAGAGTACACCCTAATACTGCCTAAAAGGGGCAGAGAGGGAGAGGTACCAAGCCGCACATGAAAGGAGCGACGAGAGAGGAAACACTGGAGGAAGAGAGGGAGACTCCCACGAAGGCCAAAAGAATGAAGTTGAGACAGAATGATACCGCCAGGTAGTGTCGTAAGCCTTTTCCAGGTCAAAAAGAACGGCAACAACGGAGGTCTTCGCAGCAAAAGCAGTACGGATATAGACCTCCAAGTTCACCAGGACATCTGTTGTGCTGAGGCACTTGCGAAAACCAAACTGAGAAGAGAAGAGGTGGTGATAGTGTTCTAAGAACCACATCAAACGAACGTTAACCATACGTTCAAAGAGCTTGCAGACACAACTCGTGAGGGCAATAGGGTGGAAGTCCTTGGAGGATGACCCGAGAGACCCTGGTTTCCGAACAGGGAGGACAACAGCATCGAGCCAGTCCTCAGGGACTGATGACTCCCAGACCCGATTATACAGACTCGGTAAATACTGAGACGTGCACGGTGGGAGATGGCGAAGCATTTCATAATGAATGCCATCGGAGCCCGATGCCGTAGAACCGCAGAGGGCTAGGGCAGACTGAAGCTCAGAGAAGGGATCATTATAGGGAAGGCGAAGATGAGTACAGAAATTTAAAGGAAGAGATTCAAGAATAGGCTTATGAAGAAGGAAGGATTGGGGAAGATGAGAACCAGAAATTACAGATGAAAAGTGGGAACCCAGTTCGGTCGCGACCTGCAACGGGTCCGCCACAAGAGAACCACCGAGGTGAAGGACCGGCGAGACATCGGGAACGAACTTACCCGCAATCTTGCGGATACGCTTCCAGACCAGTGGTAGAGGAGTTTCGGACGTAACGGCGGAGACACAAGATATCCAGCAAGTATGTTTAGCCGCACGGATGGTCCTACGGGCCACCGCACTCGCCTTCCGAAACAAGAAAAGACTCGACCGTCTACCGGCGGCGATGTCTTTTCCAGGCTGCACGCTTACAGCGAACAGCTCGAGCACAGTCAGCATTCCACCAGTTAACGCACTTCCGCGTCCCCCGAGAGGAAGAGCGAGGAATAGAGCGGAGGGCAGCATCAAAGACAGTCATGAAAAAGGAGGGCGCGAGGGAGAGGCAGAACGGAGAGGTCGGAAATAGTAGCAGAGAGAGAAAAGAGGCGCCAGTCAGCCTCGGCAAACTACGACCTAGGGAAGGAGAGAGGAGGGTGTAAAGAGAAAGTAACAAGGATAGGAAAATGGTCACTGCCATGGAGGTCATCAAGGACTCGCCACCCGAAATTTAAGGAAAGGGATGATGAGCACAGAGAAAGATAGACAGGAAAGGGAGCAAGTCCGAGAGTCCAAATGAGTGGGCTCACCAGAATTCAGAAGCGACAGAGAGGAGAGGATGAAAGGTTCAAGGAGGCGACCCCGGGTGTTCATCAGCACATCACCCCAAAGGGCATGACAATTTAAATCAACCAGCAGGAGCACAGGCTCCGGCAAGGTTTCTAGGAGGTATTTAAGATCAGGAAGAGAAAGTGGGACAGTGGGGGGGGGGGAGATAAATGGAACAAACCGTATACCATTTACGCACAAAGACATGGGCAGCAGAACAGTGGAGAGGCGAGGAAAAAAGTCAGGGGACGAAGGGAACATCGGAGCGAATTGAGAGCAGAAGAGTTATGGGCCCCAGCAACAGGGGGGGGGGGGGGGGGAGAGAGAAGAATAGCCACGGAAGCGACCAGGACGAGCACCAAGCATCGGCTCCTGGAGACACACAAAGGGGCGAAAACTATGAAATTAGAAGTTGGAGGTCAAGGAAATTGGCATAATAACCACGGATGTTCCATTGAAGAATAGACATCGGCAAAAAGAGAGGACAGCAACAGAGAGCAAAGAAGAAACAAAGGTGAAAAAGGAACACAGCACGTTAAAGAAGCACAGGGTCAGGATCAGGGTCAGTGAAGTCAGGGTTAGGGGGCATGGGGTAAACTGAGTAGAGGAGGAGGGAAAAAAGTGGGAGAGACCAGAGGTGGACGAGCAGGGTCTGGAGGAGACGGAAGAGGGGGAAGGGCAGAAAGAGGGGAGCGCACCTCACCAAGGGCAGTAACCGAGACGGAACCGGGGGCGAAAGAAACCTCCACAGTAGGAACAGGGGGTTCCACCACCGAAGAGGGAGGAACGACAGAATCAGAAATAGGGGGCGAAGAAGAAAGCAAAGCCTTTTTACCCACTGGGGAGGAGGAAGGAGAGGAGCCAGGTTTCCGCTTCTGACTCAGAGACAGGTGTCCCAGCAGCAATGTACTGGGCAACAGACTCCAGTGTCTCTATAGAAGAGCGAGAGCGAACTTGACCACCAGGAGAGCGATGGACATTGGCCCGCACAGTCAGGCGGCGCGTAGAGCCAAGAGACGTAGGAGAATGATGGAAAGGAGGACCAGAGAGAGAGAGAGAGAGAGAGAGAGAGAGAGAGAGAGAGAGAGAGAGAGAGAGAGAGAGAGAGAGAGAGAGAGAGAGAGAGAGAGAGAGAGAGACACAGGAGACATGACAGACTGGGTAGAAAGAAGGGGAACCCTAGACAAAGAACCAGGAGGGGGACCCTCCGGGACAGAACGAAGGGAAATGGGAGGTGCTGGTGGGCGTGTCCGGGTCTAAGGCTTGGAAACGGTTACGAGACTGAGGAAGGTGGGAAGGACGAGGAGAGGAAGAGCGCACCACGCGAGCATAGGAGACACCAGCGAAAGAAGGGAGACGATGAACTTGGTGCCGAGCCTCAGAAAAAGACAAACGGTCCCGGTGCTTAAAGTTGAGAACGGCCGCCTCAAGTTTGTAACGTGCGGGAGAAGGTAGGGTGGGCCTCACCGCAGTTGAGGCAGTAGGCCTGGGGAGAAGTGCACTCCAACTTAGTGACCCTCGCCTCCACACATGAGGCAGAGAGAGACAGGACTAGAGCATTTGAGGGTACCATGTCCAAACCCCCCCCCCCCCCCCAGCACTTATTGCAGAGCCGAGGAGATGGAATATACTCCTGAACGGAGCATCTGGCACCAGCAAGAATGACAAAGGGCGGAAGGGTCCTACCATTAAAGGTAACCTTCACAACCCGAAGGGGCAGACGGCGATGACCACGAGGGGGACGAGTAAACGTATCCACCTGGAGGACAGAATGACCCTGGGCCTCGAGGATATGCTTGATATCCTTGTGACAGTCTTTTAGATTCCTAACACCGGTCGCAACATGGTGCGGGAGGAGAACAGTGCCAACACTGGCATTTAACCGAGCGTTCTTGGAGACCCGAACAGGGGTCTCGCCAAGACAGGATAAGGCGGCCAAGCGGGGTGTCTGCATCCTGAGAAGGAGCAACGACGACACGGGTACCAAGACGGGTGGGGTTGAAGGTAACAGAGGCATCTACTGAATCCACAAGATGCCTATGAAGGGAAAAATCATAGTCGTCGAATCCAAAGGATGGAGGTCAAAGTACTTAGTCCAAGTAGCAGGACCAAACAAAGCATGTTAAGAATTAGTATGGGAAGGGAGCATACGAGAGCGGCCGTGGCGGGGACGGCAATGAGAACCTTTTGAGAGACGGGTTAAAAGGTGCAGTAGTCACAATAAGAGATGGAGCCGTTCAAGGGGACGAGGCGGTCACCACAGCAGGCTTGGGGCTCGACCCAACCACAGAGGAGGGAGGAAGAGT